CCTGTCATGCTAAACTACAAACTATGTGTGGCAGGAGTATTTAATCAAAGTCGGTACTGTTAACTTTGTACTCATACTGACATCCTCATCACTCGCTGAAGTGGCTTGGATACGAGGTAGGCGAAAGCAGGTAAGGGTTTGAGTTCGCAATGCTCACCTACAAATCATTAACCTTGCAACTAAAGTTGGGAACCTGCCGAAAACCTCTTGGGGTCTCAGGAATCGGTTGGCTGGTTTTGGAAGCGTTTTGGAAAGGAAGATGATGTGTATGTGCCTGGAGATGTTGTTGTGGCAGACCAGTCCTGGCAAGGTGAGTTACCTTCTTTTGAAATTTCATAACCTAATCTTTGGATTTGATTAGATGAAGTGCGGAGACTTCAGTCTCAGAAACAAACAACTAATATGGATTCGTAGTCATTCTGGAGGATTCTGAGGAAATTTGATGGTCATGATCAATGTAGTTGGCGATTTCTCTGGTGTCTACCTACATATCATTCAAAACTAATCTAGTGCACATATTTTGACCTTGGCCAGTACTTCTTGGCTACTTCATCAATGATAGAGAACATGTAAGTGAGCCATTTTGTTCGAGGTTGAGTACACACTCGTCATTGGCATTTTAGACTCCAACAACGAAGAGGCATCATTCTCTAAACGTTCTAGCAAGTGCAATTACGAAGAACGATGTGAGTAGTCGCTATCTATGGTTCCCCGAAAAAGCAAGCTGTGTTACGGATATGGTGGTGATAGAGTGTGTAAACTGGACATCGAATTGAAGTTCTTGGATCGCCTCCAAAAGAATACGTACCTGGAGGCTGGCGGCCGAAGAAGAGACATTGCTCTGGGCGGTTCCCATTGTTCCACATGCACAGTCTTCGGGCCCGGGATAGTAGGTGTTGCACCATCGGGCCAATCAGAGGTTTTACATCCATTGTGGGAAAGNCGATGTTTTGGCCTGGAGGCGATTTTGACAGTAAACGACTGACCATCTGGCCATGCGCTGGAT